CATTGAAGAGGCTCGTTTAAAAGGGAGCCGTTAGGACATTGAAAGCAGGACCCGGTCAGGCTGTTACAAGCCTAGAAGAGCCGTTGGTCGGCCGAGTAATGGCGTCCAATGGCTCCATATCTTGATTAGTCTTGAAGTCAGCCATTAAGGGCCTTCAAGTCGGTAGAGGAGGAGCCGCTATTTAAAGGCTCCTCCACTCTTGTAAAAGGACAGACGATTGAATACCCGGAGGGGGGAGAATACGAGAGAGATTCCGAGTACTAGCACTATTTTTGAGATAGGCATACATTTTTATTGAAAGGTGTATCCTCCAGCCAAAGGTTGTGTTGGACCTCCTTGGGCCTGAAAACCCAAAAACCATCAACATTGATGACCACAAGTGGAATGGCTTTTTTAGTTAATAAATAAAAAGTGAAATAAATTGAATTTGTGATTTATAAGTATATAAATATAATGTCATTACGATTGATAGGTTAAAAATGTAATAAACTCTTTGTTATGTTTGACAGAGTTTATTTAGGAGCTTATAGCTTATTTTAAGCTTTTAGTGTAAGCTTATTTTAAGCTACTAATAAGTTATAAGCTTTGTTTGGTAATTTTCTCAAAATAAGCTCTTGGCTTAAAATAAGAGCTTATTTTGAAACGCTACATAATGTAGCGTTTCAAAATAAGCTCCTAGTTTCCTAACATTTTTTTTTTCATCTTTATCCTTATTATTTTAAAGAAATGACATAATTTACTCTTCCCAATTAAAACCTTTTTCTCTTCTCCTTTATCTGCAAATATTATTATTATTATTATTATTATTATTATTATTATTATTATTATTATGAGATATTCAACAATATTGCTACTTCATTATGAGATGCTAGATCATGATTATGCTAATAGTTTTATTTCAAAATGTTAATTTTTTTTAAAGACAAAATGTTAAATTTTAATATGTAAACAAACTAATTTAAATTTTATGAAGATGTTCTTTTTAGTCTTTTTACATTTATATATCAGCTTATCCAAAAGCTAATTTTACCAAACACTTCCAATCATAACAGCTAGCTTAACAGCTCTTCCGTTTTCAGCTCCGAGCTTATAGCTTTTCAGCTTTCAGCTCCTAGCTTATAACTTTTCAGCTAAGTTTGCCCAAATAGAGCCTTAATTTTTGACTGACTTAACAATTTTAATCCTCATCTACCTCGCCCTTATCGTAGGAAAGAAATCTTTCCCATTTTCATTCTTGTAGAAATCTTTTACGTTCTTGATTAATCTCTGGTTAAGTGAATACAATCCTCAATATTTAAGTAAAAAATTTAAATATTAAGTTCATAATATTAAAATATATAATTATTTATCGAATCTTCAATGATTATAATCAAAATACTAAATACAAAATGTAAATAATCTTCATACAAATAAGAACAAAATTACAAAATATGAACGAATTCAGTATCTATCAAGGACTTTGTAGTCTAATGACACCAAATTGTTCCCTCTTAGGAAAGGTTGTGGGTTCTCGCCTTAGTGGAGGCGATATTGGCTCTTTGTGCTTCATTTGATTGAAAAAGTAGTTATGAACAAATACTACATTGTAATAGAGTCAATAGTATTAAAAAGAAAATAAAATAAAAAAATACTGGCCAACTATGCTCTGCACTTGACCGAATCAGCCAATTTTTTAAATTGATTTTTCCGCTTAAAACGACATTGTTTTGAGATTTTTTTTTTCAAAAAATTAATTGGCGCCTAGGCGCTCGCTCGACACTCGATTAGCGCCTAATGCCTACTGCAAGTGTGCAACATTGCTAAATACAATACAAGTATACATATCAAGGGATGGAAATGGGAGAAATATCCCCGTCCTCGTCTTCGTTAGGGCTAAAATAAAGCTAAGAATCCCAAAGGGATCAGGCAAATTGTCATTCTTATCTTTGATTATATTTTCCCTGTCAGATTTAGCCCGACAATTTTAAATTTTTACCAATTTAGACCTTAGAACTAAATTTGAAAAAGATTGAAGATATAATTGATAAAATTAAATGTGAAAAAGTATTGTAGGTAGAAATTAAAATTGTAATTAATTTTTAATCGTTATATTAATTAAATATAATATTAGCAAGTAATATTAACTTAAATCATGAATTAGACTAAATTCATTATTATTATTATTATTATTATTATTATTATTATTATTATTATTGTTATTATTATTATTATTTTGCGAGCGTGAAAGTCACATACTCACAATTGCGTTTCGCGAAAAGATGTTTTCTACAAGCTTCTTATTAGTTTGGCTTTTTAGGGCTGAATTGACGGTTGGACCACCAAAGCTTTTTATATTAAAACTAATTAATTAATTAATTAAAAAGACGTACCTAACAATGGAATTGATTCACAAATGTTCGGTAATAGATTAAGTGGTCGAAACATGATTCTTGTTTACTAAAAGTAACATCTCTTACCCCAAATATTTTTGTCAGTATCTTTACGATTGATTCTGTCACAGTTTTTTTGAGTGGTTTGGAAGGTTTATTCATTGAACACTCTTCGAGTAGTGATGGTAGATTTTCTTGTCAAAAAAAAAAAAAAAAAAAAAAAAAGAAATTAATAAAGATATAGAATGATGGAAAGTGTGGATTGGAACCATTTTGCGCAAATGAGGACTAGGGTCTAACCAGAGCCAATCGTATCATTTTATAGGCCTAGGGAAAAATAAAAACAAATGTCCTTAATATATGAAGTTAAAAGATTGTATGGGTTAATTGAAAATAATTAAATGATAATTTTGAATTTTCGTAAATATATGATTTTTTTTATTAAAAAAACATTTTTGAATTGTCTTAGAGTAGTGTCCATCCAAACTTTGGGCCCCTATATGAAGTGTAATTATAAATTAAGAATATATATCTATTAACTGTGATAAATATATCAAATAGTTGTAATTCTTAAGTAGACGGGTAAAACTAATAAATAATTTTGAAATCATGAATTCAAATCTTTGCATATGCAACATTTTCTTTTTACTTTATCAAAAAATAATAAACCAAGCTAGGGATCCCCTCTCAACGTTGGGCTCAGGGTAGGCCATTGGTCTAACTGGTGAGCTGATTGCGTACTCGCGATTCACCTCTACAGTTGCTCTAGTCGTTAGGTCATGTAGATTTATGATTAGTCTGACGAAATGAGAATCACCTAAGTATATATATTAAAAATTAATTAATAATAAACTAATAAAAGAGGAAAGAAGGAGGGTAGAGTAGGGGCCGGGACTGAAATTAAAATAATAATAAATAAATAAGAAAGAAAGAAATGATAGACAGCCCCAACCAGCTATTGGTTTTATGTGGTCAAAAAGCACAGCAACAAAGCAAAAACTAATGTTGTTGATTAAAGAAAGCAAGAGGGAGGGGAGGGGGGTATATATATATATATATATATATATATATATATATATATATATATATATATATATATATATATATATATATATATATATATATATATGATTCCTTTGATTCTTGACTTCATCAAAACCTAATCTCAATCTTAACAAAAAGGATCGAATGAACCAAAAACATCTATCTGTCATTATTTTACTAAGCACTCGCCTCATCAAATACTTAATAATAATTGCGGCTTATAAACTAATCAACATAAATAGAAAGCTAAGTTAGTCTCCCCTTATTTAAATCCATAATGACGACCCAGATGACGAAATCAATCACCATTTTTTAATCGTTCAACTTGTCCATCATAATGGGTTTGATAATCAATGCTTCATTTCTTGATTAGATTAAGCACATGCTGATTAGGATACATTCAGATATTTTTGGGCATTTCGACCCTGTACTAGATTATTAATTCTTTTTTACTAAAATGGATCCTTCGGAGTTGGCAAGGTGGCTTTTCAGTTCTGCCTGCGACACTTTTAACGTTGGATGAATAAATGTTTAATTTAATATTATTATATGTTTTTCGATCCATAGTAAAAGAGAAATGAATGGGGTTGACAAGGACATTAAATTTTTACCTTTGTTAACCAGAAAGAAATTAAAAATAAAAATAAAAATTCAGCATAGGTTAAGTCCCTCTCGAAATAATAGCCATGTCTGACTGCTTTTAGCGATGAGAACTGATTCAAAGGTCAGACGACGATAGAGACAATTCATCACCATCTGGTGATACTTCCCAGAAACAATCACTTTGATCACCTTTCATCACCCTAATTTAGGTTAACCTTTACATTTTAAGCAACACAGATTATTCATTCCCCACTCTCCATAATGCGTGCTCCATGTTAGACTAAGCCTTAAACATTTAAATCTATCTTGAGGTTATACGAAATATTGAAAGGTTAAATTTAACATTTTACCGTTTATGTGAATTCAAGACGTGAGTGCTTGATGTTAGACAAAGCCTTAAATGTTCAAACTCATTATTTTATTGTTCGTGTGCATTCAAGATGTGAGTGCTTGAGGTTAGAGGAAACCTTGAAAGGTCAAACTAACCCAGGATTTTACTGTTCGTGTGCAACATGAATGGTTGAGGTTAGACAGAGCCTTAAAAGGTCAAATCTGCACTCAGACGCTAGTGTTTGAGATTAGACAAAGCCTTAAACGGTCAACCTCAACAGTTTACTAATACATTATTCAAGACGTAAATTTTACGTAGATAGAGGTTAGGAGGGTCAAATTCAGCATCATAGTGTACGTCGGTGTAGATTTAAAATAAAAGAAAACCTTTAATTTGGTAGCTTTTAACATTGGGGCAAAAAGAGGAAGACATGATGTTAAAGTGATGAAAACCAAAGTGATGGTACTTGTGGTAACATGATCCAGTGGCGCACGTTAAGCGGGTAGTGTTTCATAGGCCGGCAAAACAATGTATATAGGGGATGTCTACTTTGGTGCCATAACTGATACATACCATTTATGTGTATATATGGGAAATTTATAATTTTTATGGGAACTTGATATGGGACTATGGGAGTAGAATAGATATAGTAATTTAATTCCAAAGATCGAGTTGGAAAATTGCCAAAAATTTTTCCAACCCGCCCATTCTCCTGGTTCCAATGAAGAACCATGATTTTAATTTATATATACTAGTAGTGGTGGCAGTACATTCTCAGATAACATCAATTCCTTGAGGTTTTCAAGGTTACAATATAATAAAGACAATAATAATGTATCCTTAAAAATGTAATTGGATAGGATCAATAATTCAAGGAGGTCTCATGAAAGAGTAGTGGAAGCCATTATTTTTGTGATGAGGCCAATTCTGAGGTCTTAAGGTCTGCTGAGGGAATCCTGATGATGCTGCAGCAGTTGTTGCAAATAGCTGAGGGGGAGGGGGGTTTGATGGGTGCCATTGCGGAATGTGGTTGCTGCTCGTTGTGGTCGAGAGCGATAGGTCCCCGATGCCCCCCCATCCAATTCGTCCCCCGCTGTTACTGCTGCTGGGAAACTGGATTTTCGAGGTAATTAAGACAGGCCAGGCCGGCATGAATATATGGGAATATATGGAGTTTGGGTTTGGAATGCTTACTTGATAGCTGGGTGAGCTCAAGTGTGGCGAAAACATTTGCAGCATGTGGGATTCGCCACCCGGTTTCACAAAATGACCATATGTAGAGTGGATTTGGTCATTGCTAGCAGGCGAATGCAGGTGCGTTCGGCTCAGGAGCTGCATTGCTTCTGCCTCGTTGTACCCCTCCCTCCTTCGCTCACCTGGAATCGCCTGTTGCTTCAAACCAAAAACCGCGCTTTTTAATTAGCTGGACTAAAACATGCACGGGAGTATGAGACTACGAGAAGGTTACGTTTAGCTAGTCTAACACATGACCTTATAAATCCATATATTCTCTCTGAGGGACTCTTAGCATACCTTATTAGACACTACTGCTGGCTGCCTCCAGTCCATCTCAAACTGCATTGCAGATGAGTTGTGACCCACATTTTCTTCACCTTGCTTCGAGCTCGAGCTCCCCAGGCTCAAATCGAGATTGTGATCAGCTGCATTCTCACAAGTCTCTGCAAAAACAAAAAACCAACAATCCACGAACCTTATTAGTCGCCCGGCCCTCTAAACACCAGAAGCAATCAATTAACCTCGTTATCGATCTTACCAGTCGCGGAACTAAGTTCATTCTCATATATACTGGGATCAAAATTTGTAACTGCATCCTTGCCATTGCATTTTATGGCAGCTTTATCATAAGCCCTAATTCAATCCAAACAGAAAAGTTGAACAAATAAAATAAAATAAAATTTAGATAGCCCCCAAAGTATTCTGATCTGATCTAACGTATCTAAAACCATTTCAAGTTGAGACAGCCCAATCTAATCAGAGTATCTAGAGAAGAAAGTCAGAATTACCTGGCAGCTTCAATTTCAGTATCAAAGAGACCCAGATAAACATACCTGTTTTAGTAAAAAAAGAAAGGGGGAAAAAAAATCAAGAATTAATAATAATAATAATCAGCAGAAAAAAGTTTTATATTCCTTATAAAGCTATCTAGGCAGGAGAATAAAAATGAAGATAAGAAGAATAAAAGTTTTTTTTTTTTTAATTTTTGTTTTTGTTTTGCTCACTTTTTCCCCAGGAATTGGCCCATTCTAGCCTCCCATCTACCGCATTTATGCAAAGTGACGCCTCTATATTTGGAACTCCCCCGGGGAAAGCCGGTGCTTTGTCGCCGGAGAACATGGACGAATTCTTCCTTGGTTAAATTGCTCATCTGCACCTCCGGCCATTAAATCTTGTTTTTTTTCATCATAACAGTTTATACAATAATAATGATAATAATAATATTCCATTAATTTCCAGGGTGAAAGTTATAAGAGTGTTGAAATTAAAGAAGACAATAGTGTAGGGGATAAGGTTAAGGTTGTGAAAAACAAAAGTACAGCATTCCAATATAATGGCCTACCTGTTTTAAGTCGTCTTCGTAATCTTCAAGGCTGAAATTTATGTCGGCTTCCACTCCCCGGAACTTGATTGCTGCCCTATCGTATGCACTGACAACACATTTCTAAACTCGTTTCAAAATCTTTGGTTTTTTTTTTTTTTTTTTTTTTTTTGTTATCGCGAAATTGGGAAGAGATTATATATATATATATATATATATATATATATATATATATATATATATATATATATATATATATATATATATATTAATTACCGAGCGGCTGCATGTGCTGTGTCGAATCCGCCTGCACATATATATGATTGTTTGTGTTAAAGAAAATGATGTTTTTTAAGGATTGAGTTTAAGGAAAATATATTTGTACCTAGGTAGACTTGTTTGCCGCAGTCCCTGGATTTTTTTTGCAGGAAGATAGATATGGTTAGTGGAATGGGATGGGAAAAGGGAGAAGAAAGAGGAAAGAGTTATGCTGACCATATGTGGGACTCCCACCGTCCGGTTCGCCGGTAAAATGTGACGCCGCGGTATTGGGAGCTTCTGGACCTGGGGCCACGGCGGCTCTTCTTCATGGGCTGCTGGGAGACCTCCGTGGCTGTGGGCTTCTCCGCGGCGGCGCTGCCGGCATGCGGTTCCGACTGGCAGAATTTAACGCCCACCCAGTGAGCCCTCGGCAAGTAAATGGATCCGTCGCCGTCGCCTCCGCCGGCGAACATTTCCGAGTCATCGACGGGGAAGAACTGCCGCGTCACCGGCGACGAGCAGTTGTCGTCGTTGGGACCCGCCGCCACCGAAAACCCGAAAATTTTACCCGCCGCCGCTTTGTTTTTCTTGCTCTTACCTCCTCCGTCGTCGTCTTCCTCCTCCGAAGCATCCTCCACAACCACCGCCGACGAGCTTGAATTCGACACGGATCCGACCCGTTTCCCCTTCTCATCATCCCCGTCCACCGGCGACGAGCACCCATCTTCCGATTCGTCGTCCCCTCTCTGATCCGGCGAATCGTTTAGATCCCACATTTCTCCACTCCTTTCCATAAACCCTCCCAAACCACTCAGCTCAAACAACCAAAACTATAATAAAAGCCAAAATTTTGGGGATTTCCAAGCTTTAGCTATGGCTATAGCTTTTTCTCAGAGTTTCATACATATGTGTATGCGTCTGTATGTGTGCGCCTACATGCGTGTATATATATATATACACACATATTCTCTCTGACTCTGCGCTTCCCTAATTAAATAGATAAGTATAGATGAAAAGGAAAATAAAATAATGGGGAAAACGAAGGTTTGTGCTGCGGATTCAAAGAACATGAAACCTACGACTTATAGAGAAGCTCAAGTTTGTTGTAAAAAGTTAGTTGAGAGAGCGAGAGCGAGTGAGAAGTTATGATTGATGGATAGATATGTTCCACTATTAAGTATCCCGGCAGTAATAGTAATAGTAGTAATAGTACTAAGTAAAAGTATTACACTACATTATATTTATCTTACCTCCTTTATTTATATATATATCCTTTATATATATACCTCCTTTATTTATATATCCTTTATTTATCACTAGTTCACTCTTACTCGGGCATATCTTATTTAGGAGCTATATATTATTTTAAGCTACTAATAAGCTATAAGCTCTATTTGATAATATTCCCAAAATAAGCTCCTAGCTTAAAATAAGAGTTTATTTTGGGTAGCGTTTCAAAACAAGCTCCTAGCTTCTTAACTTTTTTTTTTTCCATCTTTATCCTTATTATTTTAAAGAAATGGCATAATTTACCCTTTCCAATTAAAATATTTTTCTCTTTCTCCTTAATTTATCCGCAACTTTCATCGCAAATATTATTATTATTATTATTATTATTATTATTATTATTATTATTATTATTATTATTATTATTATTTGCACCATTGCGATGCACGACTATATATAATTTATATTATATTCTGTATAATATAATAAGATGAAAAATATACATTTTCAAAACTTAATAAAATTGAAATGATGAATTTAGTAATTTTATTAGACATTGTTAAAGACTTCTTTGTTGAACCCATGCAATGCACGGCTATATATATAGTACATAGAATATTCTGTATAATATAATAAGATGAAGAAATATACAATTTAAAAGCTTACTAAATTTGAAATGATAAATTGTGGAATGTTATTACACATTGTTCGTTGTACACAACATTTTTAGTCGTACTAAGATATGGTACATTTTCGCCACAAATCAAAATTTTTAAACCCCTTGGGTTACTAACTCTTGAAACAGCTACGTACAATTGGCCATGGTTAAAGACATGTCTTTTCAACAGCATTCCCACTTTAGAAAGTGTTTGTCCTTGCCTTTTGTTGATTGTCATGGCATAGGATAGCATCAACGGGAATTGCTTCCATTGAAATTTGAAAGGCAATCTTGGATCTGACGGTGTAAGTGACATTCTGGGAATTAATACTCTTATTCCTGCATTTGTACCGCACATGATTTTGGCTTCCAACACGTGATCAGCTAACCTAGTAACAATCAACCTTGTACCGTTGCATAATTTGAGTGTGAGATCAATATTTCTCAAGAGCATAACAGGTGACCCAACTTTCAATGTCAAAGCATGATTTGGTACTCCAGAACATCTCAGCTCATTCAAGAATTTGGGAGTGTGCGAATCTGCTAACATATCAACATTTGAATCTGACTTACAAACAGAATCACAACTCAAGTAAGTCTTACCCTCAGCCGGATTATGATAATTCATGTATTGGTTAATGTTATCTACCACATCTAATGTTGGAGCCAAAATAGCACTGTCATTAAGATATGACAGATCGCCAATACCCAGTCTAAAATGAGGGAATGTGCTATCAACAATTGTAGCAATAGGGTCATCCTCGCACTTCAGCAATAAGTGTTCTGGAATTGTAATATCTGACTCACCATCACTTGAATTACCAACAGTTTCGTCACCTATATTAGCTAACCAGTTTGCAAACTCCTCAATCTCTTTACCCTCGATTTGTGATTGTACACTTCTTAGGCGTAGATTCTTAGTTAGCCTAAATACTTTGCAGGATTTTCAAAGATATGAGGAACTAATGCTCGCCCGAACAATATCATGTCTTGTACCCTTCGGAATTACTGGTAGAATTTGCCTGAAAACGACACCAAAAACAACTGTTTTACCACCAAATGTCATTTCATAACTACTTGGATTTTTGAAACACAACAAATCCCTCATAGTTCGGTCTAGGGCTTCAAAACAAAATTTGTGCATCATTGGAGCTTCATCCCATATTATCAACTTTCTTTGAAAAATAAGCTCTGCTAATGGACTGCCGTCACTTATGTTGCAAGTGGAATCTTCATTAACAGATATCGGTATAGCAAACCGAGAATGTGCAGTTCTTCCACCTGGTAATAAAAGCGAAGCTATGCCGCTAGATGCAACATTTAACACTATTTCCCTCTTAGACCTAAAAGCGGAGGACAATGCTCGCCACAAAAACGTCTTACCAGTCCCTCCATAACCATAAACGAAGAATAACCCACCAGCTTTGCGATCAATATCTGTTAACACCTCATTGTATATGACCTTTTGCTCTTCTGTTAACTGGCTTACCAATTCCTGGTTATCTTTTCTCCTGATCCACACAGTTATATGACAATTCTTCTTGTATAAGCCTGTTTGATATAACATTAAAGGCCTCAAGATTGGCCGTTGGCATTTCAGGAAAGTCCTTCAAACTCTTACCATGAATTGATAACAGCTTTTCAATCTCCACTAAAGCAAAGTTCATCTTTTGAGAGTCAGTCAACACAAAATCTGCATATGTTTATATCAAAATATACTAATTAAGTTAACTACGTTAAACATCAATTGATATTTTGTTAGCAATATAATAAAAATAATATGTAAAATGTATGTGTACCTCTATTTTTCAATTGTTTGCGGATCTGGAATTGTGCATCGTCAGACAATTGTGGCCACGCATCATTCCAAACTGTTTCCGGTTTACCCATGCAACTGCTCATTAACAATGTAACAAATAATCTCCTCAACTGATCTCTTGACGCCCAATGACTGGCTTCATCTATTGCATCAACATATTCGTTATCATCATCAACTAAACCTCTAGCATAACACGCATCTCGAAATGAGGCATAATGGACACCGTTTACAGTCCTGATATCTGCGTAACTTGTAGGGCCACGTATTTTATTCAACAAACATCTCAAATAAAAGATTTCTCTAGTCGCAGGCGGGACATAGAAGATCCTTCCGATTGAGAACCCTTTTTTCCGTGGCTGCCATTTTATAAGGTCTTTCTTCCACACGAATCTTGTTGGCATCTCGACATAAGTAAGCTCTCTTGCATCTGGGAATGTCTTATTAGCCTCAAACCATTCCAAGAACATGCTCTGTGCTATAGTGGGTCTATTAACAGTGTTCTCAACAGGATCATCATCTGCAAACACCACAACTTTGCTGATTAGGGAAGTGAAAGCTTAACCTTTCCACTAAAGGAGCCCTAAGCTGTATATCAAAACCAAACAAACGCCAAACCGCTTCACATGGTGATATGTACTTACAGTCATAGTACATATTAATCCCATCTATGACTTTTCCATTCTCTTCATAATTTCTAGTTTTGTAGAATTCGGTTGTTACCCGATCATGACCCTTGTTAACATACTTGATTAAGCGGGACTGGTTGCGCCACTCAACATTTATATGAGCCTCGTACTTAAGTAATAAATGTCTATTGTGCGGTACCACATATCTGTTGTCCAACGCGATGCCGTTCTTTGTAACTATACGGCCGTTGTCTCCCCGTCTATATACCGGATAACCATCGTCATCAAATGTAGAACACTCAACAAATCTCTTTGGAAAATGTTTTGAACATCGTCCATTTACCATACATGGAGAATTGCTCCTTGCTTTTTCCACATGGACCATGCATCATAAATTCCTCTACAGATTTGTAATATTCTACATCTGTATTTTCATCTGGTATCTCAGCGGAAATGATTTTGTCTAGAGTAACCACTTGACTAACTTCTTTAGTTTTCTCCAAAAAAAGCAGTATATGAGCATGCGGAAGACATCTCTTTTGGAACTCAATGGTATATATAACTGCAACATAATAGCAATTACCAAATAAAGGGAAGGGAACTTATGCTAATTTTAAAGAAATTGGTGTAAGACTAAACAAAAAGATTACCTCCAGCCACAGAGCCAAAAAGTTTATTCTTTCGACAATCAGCTATAAAGGAATCCAACTTCATCTTGAATAATCGGCAAGTTATGTCAGGTCGGTCTTCTGCTTTCAACCTTCAATCTTGTAAAAAACGTTGCACCTCTGGCCACTTTGGGTTGCATGTAAACGTTATAAATAAATATGGGTATCCAATCCATCTACATATTGCCATGGCATCCTGATAGTTTTGTATCATGTATCGAGCTCTGCTTGTAAAACTTGAAGGTAGTATTATTCTCCGACCTTGTGCTGCTGGGTCTACTTCGCCCCTGGTTAAAGCATCGATCAACCCACTATATGTTTCACACCTTAGGCTTTTTTGGTGTGTCCTGATATAAATGAGTCTTCCTGACTCAACCATTGTGTATCCATCGACAACGAACTGTTGGAACAACCGCTTTGCAAATAGAATGGTACTCTGAACAGAATTTCTAGACTGTATGCGATAGCAAAAAAACTCCCTTGGGCTAATCCTGTGTCTACCACCAGAGGAACGGTTGCCGAGTACGTTCAAGAATGCAATGTCTTCCCGATAACCATCTTCACCATATGGAAACAACAACGGGTATTGCAGTGGCAGGTAAGAAGGATTTAATTCACTGATTCTCTGCAGTTTCCCACCCTTAGTTTGAACCACAATATGACGCTCACCAATACTAGTATCAAGATCTCCAACTATTAAAGCTGCTACTTCAGACACTTGCGATAGATTGTATGTCCTGGCATCTTTAGTGCGCTTTCCCAACAACTTAATCTTCACTTCAGCGCATGGATTACTATTAAGCTCAGACATAGCCATCCGAAATGACTTAACCAAAACATTATTATTATCTAGCTCCCTCTGAATGACATTCACTATTTCTACATGAATGTCATCTTGCTCACCAACACCCTTAAAAGAAGAAAAAATATGCATTGATAAGGATCTCAATAAAAATACGTAGGTTTATTGTACTAAGCGCAGTTTGTTTACCTGACAGCATTTATACGGTTGTTCTTTTCATTTGTTGTGTCGTATATGTAAAATTGGGAAAAATGTGGTAGTTTGCCTTCTTCTGGAAGGAGACTGCCCATTAGATGATAGTTTTGTCCACTTAATTGTAAAACAGGAGGTCCGCCGCCCTTGTTCACGCTCGTGTCTATTTTACCGCCCATTGATGTGAAGCAGAACATGTTGTTGTATGTTCTGATGTTTTGGAGAAATTTTCTTGATAATTCGTCATTGCCGAAAAATAGATCATATATACCTTTTGGTGGCAACGTAATCGCCAGCAACTTAATCTTCCCATTGTTGCAGCACAACGAAAACATCGGAGAACCTTTAGTGGAATAATTTTTTTTCCTTACTTCGAACCAAAACAACGCCCCACAATGGTCGCAAATATTGGTTGCATCACCCAAATCACAATACTCATCTGCATTAAAAGGATTTTTTAATAGGCGTCCATATAATGCTGGCATTAGGTATGAAAGTTTTATACATATGCAAACCCAGAGGATGTTGCAATATCGGAGTGTCGCCGTCCATCCTCAATCGTTAGACCCAAATCTGAATTGACTAAAGTTAATGTTAATATTAATTGGGCAATGTCTTTTACAAATACTTTGCTAGCATTCGTTTGTACATAACACAGTTCATATTATTACCTGTTTTGCCATTATTGGCTATTTCAATAAGTAAAGGGATAGATTTCTCTTCAAACGCCGATAGCAAGTCTCTATTTACGACATGATCTTCTTCAGTTGTCGCCTTATGTAAAGGTTGACGCATGACTACTTTATCTTGTGCGCTACAACCTATATTGAACACAATAATAAAAGAAACAATTATCTTTTACTTGATAATATTCAAAATTATATAAGATATGAGTATAGAAAGTTACCAGTTAAGCAAGATGTTGTTATGGTTGATATTGGTTCTTGGAACTCTCCAAAAATAAAATGCTTGCAATTGCTTGAGCCTATGTGTATCTTGCAAGTACCTTTATTAAACATACATAATAATTTACAGTACAGATATCTTAGTCAAGTGTAATACAAAAAAAGAATTTGACAAACATTTTTAAATAATTACAACTATATGGATATTTAAAGACACATAAAATGTATATCGCTAAATTGTAGGAGTTTTACCATTAGTGATGTTACTCATTGGTGTAATTTTTTGAGTAAAACACCCTCTAATAAAATATCGTCTACGAATACTTGCAGTACTTTGCTCTGTACCTTGAGCATCATTATTTGTTGATGATGAATTTTCTAAATTCTCTGTGATATACAATATAACATTATAATTGAAAACAAAATAACATAAGTAACAATCTTATTAATTTAGTACACAACATAATTAATTAGACTATTGTACAACCTAATTTTGTAAGTGCTAAAAATAAGGGAAGCATTATAAGGCAAATTATTGGGGGTACCATGGTACACACAATTGTGTGGACCATGAATATCATGAACATTTTTAATATTTTAAAAGTACATTATTTTTGTAATTAAGGTACATGTAATAAAAGATCCTTATAGCTAAAGTTTATATATTATATAAAACATCTAGCACAATAGTTCAATCTACATTTAATTTTTTTATCTATATTTATTATATAAATTAACATAATATATATATTTAATAGGGTTAGCATTACAATACTACACTTAGACATTCTAGATCATTCCATTTTGTAATAAATATAAGTAAATATATATATATATATATATATATATTTATTTATTTATTTATTTATTTATATTCATATTTATAATTATATATATATTGTTTATTTATTAAAGAAAATAAAGAGATAAGGATGAAGGTGACTCTTATCCTTTCTCTGTCTCAACAGATGTTCGTAGCCCTCTCTCTATCTCAGCCATTTTCTTTCATTTCTGACCTCATTCGTAGCCCTCTCTCTATCTCACAATCTAGAACACATGAGGAAGATGGGTCTAGACCCTTCTCCTCTCTACGTCTCGGCTTCATCTCTCGATCTCCGTGTATCACGACTTCATCTCCATCGCCTTCGTTTATGGACCTTGTCGCTGCTATCTCTCTAACTTTGAGGTGGAAATCTTACTAAAGTGAAGCTCAATTCATCATTCTAGGTTAGTATAATTTTAATTTCGTGAGCTAATTTAAGTTTTTTATGTCTCACTGTATTCATCATCTCCAAACCTCATAGCTGTTCAAATTAGGTCAACTTTTCTCGAATTAAGCTTATTAGTTTTTTAAAACTATGCATGCACTTCGATTTTTAGTAGTTATTGCTTTTATTTTCTTGGATCTAAGGTGTGCATAGTTATTTCTTAGATTTGTACACATTGCATTCCCGATTGTGAAATGGTAATATATGATTATTTTTAGTACAAAATATATGTCCTTAGATTGTTAATTTAGAAACCCCTAACTAAATCTTTGTTTAATTGGTAATGTACCTGTTGTAAATGCTCCAATGGTTATATTATTCAGAGAATTTGTAACCTATAATTTCTTTGTTGTAAATGCTCCAATGGTTATATTATTCAGAGAATTTGTAACCTGTAATTTCTTTTTTGCATGTTTTTTTCTAGGGTGTCAATTGCTGAATTGAATGGGAGAGCAGGCAATGATACCTAAGCAAGCATGTAGAAGACAAAGCAAACTGATATGAAAACTAAGAGATAAGTTTAGGAATTTACCTTTATTTTCTGGATTTTGTTCCCTTTTGATGCCTATAATGGTGGACTTTGTAATTTTCTTCATTGCAATGTGTATCTTTCAAAAAAATATCATTGAATTCTTCATTTTGGCTGACCTATGATAGTGTTTAAACTTGTTTTAGCCTATTTGAATTTAGTAGAATAGTTACAAGTACTTGTGACAATTTGGGCATATTTATACTTTTGGGGCTTTTGAGATTTTCAGTGGAACTGAAGGGTTTTTTGTAGCTATAATGATAGCTGCTGACAACTTTTATTTAATTTTAAATAATATATTGTTTTTCAAACTAATTTTGCACTTTTCCTTCTAAACACTAATAATTCTTTTATGTAATGTTGTATGTTAATGTTAAATATATCTATTGACTTTATTCTGTCTTTGCTAGACTTTCTTTATATATTTTGGTTTATAATTTTAAATTGGCATGCAAGGTAAGATTAGATTACAGCTTAAGTTTTTTACTGAGTGCTGGTTCCTGATTGTGGAACAATACAAATTTGAAATCATTTATATGGGATTCAATGTGTTTGAGATAATTGTATTATGTAAAATAAAGTTGGCTTTAGTTCTTAAATTTGCTGAGCAATGCTTAGTTTAATTTGTTTGGTTGCGTTCACTTTCAACTCTCAAATTGTCATCATACTTGATTATATAATGCATTAATATGCTTGTGTTATTTATTTTTGTCAGTGGAAATAACCGTGTTTTTAAACCGAAATACTAATGATTGGTTTGGTCAATTCACATGTCATCGTAGTATTTTAACAGTATGTTGTAAATAGTCTTAACTTCTGTTGACATATTTAATTAGTTCTGCTTTACCAATTATGTATGAAAACTCCTAATTTAGCAGATTTATCTATTCTTGAGTTGTCCTTTTACCCAAATAGATTGAGGTTTTATATATTTGTTGTCTACTTTAGCAGGTCCAAGTATCTGGGCACTGCAACTCCAGAAACTACAGATTGGCCTGCATGAGGGTTAGAGCTTATCTGTGGAGCTGAATTTGTTAATTAGGTGAGTTTTGAAGGGGGACCACCAAGCTTGGTGATCCAATGGTGATTTTGATGAAGCTTAAGCTGCATGGCATCTATTATTATCATTGCTGCTGGGTAGTATTTTGCCCAGTGGCCATTTGGGGGTAAAGATTTTCAGATTATTTCGGCGTAATTTCGCTTCTTTGTTTAGCCTTTTGGCCTTTTTGATGGTCATGAGTTGCTTAGAGCAACTTTTGGGCTATAAGCTTGTACATACTTGTTTGGGTGGTCACTTTTGGGGCACCTTTGTACAAAATTTTTTAAATTCAATATACGTCCTCAGTTTAAAACCAAAAAAAAAAAAAAAAAAAAAAAAAATCTCACACTTTATTAGTACATTAATTTTTGTATATTAAAAATTAGGTGAGTTTTGAAGGGGGACCACCAAGCTTGGTGATCCCATGGTGATTTAGATGAAGCTTAAGGCCTAAATAATCTGTTATTATCATGGCTGCTGGGCTATATATAGTCCAGTTGCCATTCCTGTTAAAGATTTTCAGATTATTTAGGCCTAATTTGACTTTTTTGATGGTATTGAGTCTTTTGGGCTCTAAGTTTGTACATACTTGTTTGGGTGGTCACTTTTGGGGCACCTTTGTACAGAATTTTTTGAATTGAATATGCGTACTCAGTTTAAAACCAAAAAAAAAAAAAAAAATATCTCACATTAGGTTATGCTATTTTATAAAAATGTTCTTAACTAAAATGTAAATTTGAAAAGCAGCATGTGTTCCATTGACTTGAACTATCATACTATAGTGTATGATTGTTAAACAAAGAAGCCAAATTAGGTTACTATAGTGTTGCATTCAAAATATATATCTATCTCACTTTGAGGTGGAAATCTTTCTAAAGTGAATATCATTTTATTACAACAGATTAATATAATTTGAATTTCTTCATTTAATTTAGGGTTTTTTATGTACATGTTTGTATTCATCATCTCCCAATCCCATAGCTGTTTCAAATTAGTTCAACTTTTCTCGAATTAAGCTTATTAGTTATTTAGTAGTTACTTGATTTGGGATTTTATTATATAGGTTGGGTTATTTTTCTGCTAGTGGTAGATATATGTTGCAATTGAAGTGAACAATTGTGAAGGCAAACAACTTAAGGTACTATACTTTGAATTCAGTAGTTGTAAGTTATAAGATCTACTTTACTGTAGTTTTATACAGTTTGTACTTCATCTAATTAATTACCAACTTTTTAGGGTTTAAACAAATCTCAATAATCCCATGTGTAATGTTCTTAAAGCTACAAAAAAGGTACAATACTCTTATTGAATAATCTCTTTATCTACATTGTCAAGAGCAATCAATTAGCAGTAGTTACACCTCTATTCTAAATAGTAATCCTATGTTGAATCTGTACATATAATGTCTTTTCAGCATGTTTCTTGAATATTTAATTATTCCATTGCATCACCATCATTCTTGAGACTGTACCTAAAGAAAAAATCAAGAAAAATGAAAGATAGGTAATATATATAAAACTGCCCCATAAAAACCAATTGTCCAAACTTTGACCAAATTTGGGACTTAGGTAAAAAATCACAGTCCAAACAAATTACAGTGGTAAAACAATAGCCACTGAATATTCCATATTCTCTATTCCAGCAAGTTGTTGTTTGTACCTTATTTACCTGCAAAAAAAGCTCACTTCCACAAATTACACATAGCAATATGACATATTAGCAGTTATTCACAGTAGTTAATATCAATTAGTGATTAACAGTTATACAATAATAGCAAAACAGTTATCCAACCTTAGAAAATAATACAACAACAATAGTGTCAAAAGTAGGATCACATAGTAGTAGCAAAATACATAATACTAAATTGTCTAGATCATGATAACAATATTTCTTAAGAACAAATGATGCTACATTTTTTTCTTCTTGATGTTGGATTCCTTCAACTTCTTGCCACTTTTGGATGAAGAAACCCCATCCAAAAGTGACCTTTTAGTAGTTACTGAATTGACAACATCATCCACATCCTTTTGAGAGGGCTGCACAGATGCAGGACTATTAACCTCTTCTCCAATAGATGCTTCCTGTATATAACAAAAGGATGATTCAGTTATAAAATTAGGTAATGAAAATTACATAATTTATTAAGACTTTTAGTAAGAATTTCTTACTTCAGAATTTTCATGAGTGTTTGTTTCCTCCTCAAGCATCCTTGACATTAAATCCTGCTCTTGATGCTCCACAAATCTGTCACTATAGGTTTTCAGCAAATCTTCCCTTACCAGCCTCAACACATTGAATGGAGAATTAATACCCCTCTTTAGAGCCTGTTTAAAACCTATTTTAAACAGTATTTTCATTCCCACAATAGCATCCAACTCAAGGGGTACTTCAACATCAACCTGGTTATTTAGTTTGCATTAGTCTATTGTTAATAGCATTAGAGTCTCTACAATAAAGTATTTTTAGGCTACAAAAATTTACCTCCTTGTATTTCTGATACAAAAGAGAAGCAGGGATCCGCACCAGTTCTGCCACTTCTCTATCCCAAAGCAAGAGCGGAACATCTCCACTCTTGTCTAGAGCAATGATCACCACTTTATACTTGACTGTACCCTTAGTATACGGCTTTTGACACTTAGTACAAATGAGTGATCCTCCCTCTTCTTTAAGTTTCTTATTACAACCGGGTGACATGCATGATACATAGTACCACCCATCCTCACAATCTAAACCCTAAATCTCTGCAGCAACATTGTATTCCCCATCCTATAGTATACACATAGATTAATTAATGTGTAAAAGAAATAGAGCAAGTGAGATATAATTTAAGTATGAACAGATAGTAAATTTTTTTGCTTACCTCTTGAATCTTCTTAAGATCATAGCAGGTAGTGACAATGACAGAAGCATTTTTAAAGTCACTAATGCCTGTAGACTGTGAGTGCAGAGTGCCAGTACTAAGACTTCTCATGGGAGTATTTTCAGATTTCAACCTTCAAAAAAATTTTAAAGTTTTCAATATATGAGTGCATTTTTTATCTGACTAATTGTTTCTAGGAATTACAGTATATGAGTAATTACAGTAGATGATTAAATTTTTTATCTGACTAATTATAGTAGATGAGTAAATTTAATAAGACTTAAATTAGGTCTACTTACTTTGACTTGAACTCTAGGAATTCCTCAAAATCCTCATTGAACCAAAGCTTGGTAGCATCGTACGAGCTGGTGATTCACACCTCACCTAAAAAAAAAAATAAGCCATAGATATATTAGGTAACTGAACTGAGTAATAGACATTAGACTAAACAGGATAGAGAAACTCACCACCTTAGCCCGACAGCACTGAATGACTACAATAAGTGGTTCCTTCGAATCACTATTGTAGTACGGCATAAGAGAAGATACATGTTCATTCCACAGTGTGCAGGTCAGGGTGTTATCACTGTGATCCAATCAGTAAAAAATAAAAATTACTGTATTAAAGACTAAATACAGTAATTGGGATAATTGAAGCAAAATAAATTTATTTAAAACTTACGCATTGACTGCAATTTGAAAGTCAATAAGTCGTGTTGCCTTTCCACCTATAATCTTATCCACATGATTATAGATCTCAATGACACGACCACTAACATCTGCAAAGTTAGAAATAATTAGACTCAGATGTTAGCAGCTCAGTTTAGTGAGATATTAAAAATCTTAGCAAATTTAGAGATAGTACCAATAAGTTCCTAGTCATTAACATCGGCAAGGTCTTTTAAATAAAGGAAACTCTTTAAGCGAAACATTTTCAAAGGAAAGCCTATAGAATTTATCTCCTTGACTTGTGTTTTATGGTTGAATTTTATCATATACTGGTGTTCTGTAATATTGTACAGGTAGTAATTTGTGGCAGCCATAAATTTTTTAATTTCAAACAGTTTCCCCTCTTTTAGTATATCTCTATATTTGACCACATTTTTTTTTTTGAATGGTGGCATGAATGTAGTCTCCCTGCCAATAACAAAAACAGAAATGAGTAGGATTTGAAATAGGATTATATTCGTAGATAGCAGTAATATGATGCATTATAAAAAACAAAAGTAGTACCTCTTCATCATGTAACAAAACTTCCATACTCTTGCTGGTCTGGCCCTCTCCCATTTTCTTAAGAACTTCGTATACCCGGACTGCTCTAACCCTGATTGCCCTGAGCTGGTGTTCAGGTTTGATGTTTTTCACAGTAATGAACATTGAAGGCATTTTGTTGAACCAAAAATGATTTCAAATTCAAGGATAGTAACCTGATTTTCGGAAGGAAGATTTGCATCCAGAAGTTGCCCTTTTATAGAGTTAGAAGATTTCAAGCTTTATGAACAACAGCCACTTTATGGGAAATCTAAGATTTCATTGAATGTTTAAAATGCAGATTTAAACTCTGCATATTCTCTGTATAAATTTCTTTTTTTTTTTTTTAACTGTGAGCATCTCTTCAGTTATGCATTTATTATCTGATGATGATGTAGTTTAGAATACCAAGAGATCTACATTAAATGAACTGCTTATTAACCAAGGACTGTAGCATGGGTATATATGAATTACTTTAGAATACAAAGAGTTTTCTCTATCAAAACGGCTAAGCCGATTCCAATGTGTAATGTCATTATACACGCCATTAAATAACTGGCAATTATATGATATACTCAAAACGGCATAGTATCAAATGGGCGGGAAAAAATTTTGACAAAAACTTCTTGCTTTATTATAGAGTTAGATTAGATTAGATTAAATTATTATTATTATTATTATTATTATTATTATTATTATTATTATTATTATTATTATTATTATTATTACTATTATTATTACTATTATTATTATTATTACTACTACTATTATTATTATTATTATTATTATTATTATTATTATTATTATTATTATTATTATTGTTATTATTACTGTTATTATTACTGTTATTGTTACTGTTATTGTTACTGTTATTGTTATTATTATTGTTATTATTATTGTTATTATTATTATTATTATTATTATTATTATTATTATTATTATTATTATTATTATTATTAGATTTGCAAAAATATTGCTACTTCATTATGAGATGCTAGATCATGATTATGCTAACAGTTTTATTTCAAAATGTTAATTTTTTTTTTAAAAGACAAAATGTTAAATTTTAATATGTAAACAAACTAATTTAAATTTTATGAAAATGTCCTTTTTAGACTTTTTACATTTATCACCTTATCAAAAAGCTAATTTTACCAAACACTTTCAATCATAACAGTTAGCTTAACAGTTCTTCAGTTTTCAGCTCCGAGCTTATAGCTTTTCAGCTTTCAGCTCCTTTTCAGCTAAGTTTGCCAAACAGAGCCTCGGTTTACGGAGTTTGACTTGTTTAAGTACATGAACGGAGTTCGGATTTGTTGATGCGAGAGTCGATCACAATTTGAAAGAGAATAATAAAATACATTAATATTCGTTTAACATATTTTAAAATACATTATTAGATTATAAATCTACTAAATTTAGAACGTCTCTCTTGAGATGTCACAAAAATCATTTATAATTGAATCTATACTAAATTGTTTTGCAATTTGTTTTTAAATGTATACTGACAAATTAACAATCACTAAGAAAGTCATCTTCCATCTTGTTGCGAAGTGTAGTCTTTACTATATTCATGGCAGAAAAAGTTCGTTCTGTAGTAACTGTAGATACTGGAAGTGTGAGAATGAGAGTTACTACTCTGAACACAAGAGGATAGATGTTCGATTTTCTAGTTTTCACCAACCATTGGCGTAGATCAGAAATACTTTCTGAAATCAGGAAGTTGTTGCACATGTTCAAAATGTTCAAGTTGCGTTCTCAGTTGTAAAATCTCATAAATTCAAAGTCTTGAGGGTAAAACTTCTCTACCAACTTGCAAATGTCATCAATTCTGAATGATATACGCATCTCTTTTGGATCCAACGATGAACTGAGAATAATTAACTCCATTGCTTTATCTTCAAACCTATTGCTCAACTCTTGCAACTGAGAATCAATCAAGGCATTAAAAATATCAAATTTGTAATGATGCCCAATTGTTAATTCATCTTTTTGATGCCTAGCCCTTCCTTTTCTTGCAATATATTGAACACCAAAATTCGACACAGTTATGTTGACAATTTCACAAAAAGACTTCACACTTGCAACTAATTCATCCCATCCACTATCTCTTAAATTTTGAATAAGCAATTTAGTAAATGACACAAGATGCATTGCATTCAATATTTCTTGAGATTGAAGTTGCAAAGCTTGACAAAGCATATTAGAAATATCCATAATTTTTCTCATGAGATGCATAATAAATACAAACTCAAAAGAAGTGAGTATCTCATAAGCTGCATCGTCATCTCCACGGTAAGCATGTGTAGTTCCATCTTCAACAATATTAAGTAAAACTTCACATGTTGCACTATACATTCTCATCAAACTTGAAATAGACTTCAAATGAGAACTCCAACGAGTATCACCCGACATTTGTAAATAACCAATTTGATTAAGACCTCTCCCATTTTCAAGCTCACCAATACTAAGCAAATTAGCAATATTTGAGGCACGGGCAACTTTCAAATGGTCATTGCACTTACATAATGCCCCAACAACATAACATTAATAATAGAGTTCAACTTGGAGAAAAATTGATGGACAGGGATGACTTCCTTTGATGAAGCTACTAATGCCAATTGCAATCGATGTGCAAAACAATGAATATAATAAGCATAACGACATTCATCCAAGATTAAAGCTTTCAAACCATTCCATTCCCACGCATGTTACTTGCACCATCATAACCTTGTCCCCCGAATATTTTGAACATCAAGATTATGACGAGATAAAATAGAAAAGCTAGATTCTTTCAATGTTGATACAATAGTGTCCTTAACATAAACAACTCCAAAGAAATGTTCTTGTATAAAGCCATCTTTATTAACAAATCTCAAGACAATTGACATTTATTCCTTCTTTGATTCATCTCGAGCTTCATCAACAATGATACAAAATATTTGCCTCACCAATTTCTTCTCGGATAACACTTTTTACTTTAGTTGTCAACACTTACAAAATTTGCTTTTGTATTGTTGGTGATGTATATAATGCATTTCGTGGAGCTTTATCAAGAACCTTTGTTACTTCATCATTAAAAGAGGAAATGAAACTCAATAGCTCTAAAAATTTTTCACGGTTCGTTGATGTTATTGATTCATCGTGACATCTAAAAGAGCATCCTTGAAATGCAAGCCATCTTGTTGCCTCAATTGAAGTTCTCAAGCGAAGTCTTTTTTCTGCTATTTCTTGAGATGTGAATTTCTCAATATGTTGTGCAATGTGTGATTGTTGGTTCATGAGATCCGCACAAGCTTTCTCGACATTTCGGTGAGGGGGGTGAGATCTTTCCCAATATGAACTAAAAATGAGCAATTTTTTCCATCTCTAACTTTCTTCCATGATCTAAACCCATTGATAGTAAAAACATCCAATTCGGAAGGCCCATCTTGAATATGAAACAAATAACATGGTAGACAAAATGCTGCATCTTTACTAGGAGAATATTCTAACAAAGAAGGGAATAACTTAAATCAAGATGCTTGAAAACTACGAGGATGCTTTTCCCTCGATTTTGGATACTTTGAAAGCAAACATTGATA